AGAAAACGGAGAAATGTCCGATGGTCGGGGTTTACTTTGATTTGGAGGAATGCTTTCTCCACATCCGCCGCTACAGCGTATTTGAAGCGTCTAACGTGTATCAGTACTTTGAGTATATCGGGAAGCAAACTGGGTCCCTGATGGAGGACATCGTTCAATGATGCCCTGTCCGCTGATCTTGCAGATGCGTCTTTAACGATTCTTGACTTCTTCCCTGTCGGGTATTCGGGGGAAGACTTAACGATCGCCTGGATCGGCAGATAATGTGCCGGCTCCCCATCAATTCGTGGCGGAGCCGGCTCCGCGTAGCCATTGCTGATGTATTCCGATATTTCCTTATCGATGGTTCCGATCGTGTCTTGATCGTTCGCGAGACTGTTTAACAGTCTGATCAATCTAGATCTCGTGAGCGATTCGTTATCCCCTAGCGTTTCGAGATTGTTGCGAAAAGGGAGAGAAACGGAAAAGCGTCCATCCGCTAGTTTTCTCGTCGTTCTTCTGTGATGCTTGATCAATTCCTCATCCAGCTCGTCTATTTCGTTCTGATTTTCGTTTGGACTTTCGATGCCCAGAGTTTCAGAATTCCAAAGGAAGTCTATATCTTTAGTCAATGGTTCTTCTTCGACCGGAGAAACCCTCGACTCTTCGGGTCTCCATGGCTGGATGAGACTGAAGGCGCACAGGCTTGGTGGGCGTGTGTCCGACTCTTTCACGACCCCACCGTAGAAGAACCAACCGAATTGGGTATTGAAAGCCTATAAACCGTCGAGGAGTCTTTTCTGCTCTTTCTCGATTTTTGGTAAGATATCTGCACCCAGCAGAATCTCTATGGATAAGTCCTCGCCATCTCCGCCGAGATCCGCGCTTGGCGTTAAGCCATAGGTCTGCTTAACCAGCGGTAGAACCGACTTTGAGATTTCGGCTATCTCGAGACACCTGACGGGTATCACGACTTGCGGAGAAAAGCAGCTCTGTAGAGAGAGTTCGTATATCTGGAAGCGTTGGACATCAGAGACATTACCTCCGATGGAGCCGAGGGACAGAAGCGTTGAGTCTGTCGGCTTCGCGGCTAAGTCGGAGATTGTTCTCTTGCTCACATATGACCTATGGGAGCATGTGTCCAAAAGGATTCTGACTTTTTTCTTCCTGTTCCCGAAGTGTGCCCAGACGAAGCCTGTTGGAAGGAGCGTCGAGCCTTCGAGCGCGTCCACGCTGGAGAGAATGGTGGTAGTGACGTCACACTGACTGACTGACGGCGAGACTTTGTCTTGTTTTGGACACATGAGAGGGTAATGTTTGTGTGAACAAATCGAACACCGAACGTTCGCTTTGCAGTTGACGGCTGAGTGATTCAATCGTAGGCAACGGAAACACGCCCTCTTACTCGATACTTTCTCTTTACGTTCTTCTAGGGTAAGTGGCGCTTTGCAGTTTCTGCTGAGGTGGGATGCCTCACAGAAAACGCAACTGTACATGTGTCGTCCCGCGGGGACGGTGCGGCTTGTGTTTATGACGGTCGAGCTGAAGTTGGCCGACTGATGTTCGAACCGAGCCGGCTTGTAGTTAGATTGAGAATCATTCGAGGAATAGGGAGTTGGACTCCGGTATCTCGTCGAGCTGTCCGCAATCTTCCGGTGGATTTTCACCTGCCGCTCCAGAAAATCTATCAGTACCTCCAACTCACAGCGGGAGTCACCGCTTTTCCGTAAATCCTCGTAAATGTCAAGAAACTGAAGTTGTAGTGAACGCGGGAGTACTCGAATTAGGTTGTGTACGAGGAATGTGGAGAGCCCGTCGATCCTTTTCCCGAGAGCCACGAGGGCTAGAACGTTTTGAGAGAGAGTCGAGTGAAAATGTCTCAACTTATCTGGGCGATGGAGATCCTTGGCGTTGAATAGTCCGCTAATCTCCTTCACATGTTGTTGCTCGGCATCTTGTTCGTCACCGTAAACGTCGTGAATCCTCTTCAAGGCAATCTCGTATTGGCTCTCACAGAAACTTATATGCGCTATTTCCTGTCTCGCTGGGCCGATGAGGCTTTCTTTCAGCTTTGCGAACTTCTGAATCACGGGTATGTCTTTGCTGTTCACGTACGATTCGAAGAGCTGGGACCATTCACGGAATTGTTTGAAATTCCCATTGAACTTCGGCGTACGCGGGGATTTCTCCTGAACCACCTTCACTATCATCGGGAGGCTTGACACATTTGTCTCCGGGCCTCGCTGGTCACCGGGATCCATCTGGGGAGTCGAAGCTCTCTGATCATCCGCATCCGGCTGGATGCATTGGTCATCGGCGCTCGCACCGCCAACGGAATGTTCACTACGATCCGCCAGTGAGGCTTTCTGCAAGTCTTCGAGATCGCTTTGGGCGCCGATCACCATTTCTTCAAAGAAAATCACCCGATCGTAATCCTCCACCAAATCCGAAGGGTTGAGTTTTCGCATCAGGTCCGCAATTTCTGTGTCGAGTGTTCGCAGCTCTGACTCGGAACGCTCCAGCATTGTTGCGTGGAGTTTCGCGTGACGGCGAATGTTTTCCGGGGGGTTCTCGCACAACAGTTTTATCCTGTCGACCCGATCTTCCAAACTATTCCTAACCAGAGTACGTCTGGCAATCTGATCTTCGAGGATTTTCTCGTACTTTTGCCTAGTTTTCCAATGTACTCTCGAGGCGCCAGGTGTAGCTGAAGCCCTCGAGCTACCGCATTGATGGGCATCTATTTCGGCTTGGGAATTTCCCGGATCTTCGTCGGGTTCCTCCATCTCCGGAATGGCGATGTGTTTCGGTTTTTCTTCGTTGCTCATGGTCGATATGACGAATCGATTCGATCACTAGCTGACGGCGTGGCCTGCTGAACTGGTTCCAACGCGCAAGTTCTTCTGAAGTAACTTCTGACACCAAATGTCACGAGCCGGAACGACCGGAGGACGGAAAACACTGACGATGCTATTGATGAGATCGTCTCTCGGTCGATCGCTCGCGGATCATGCGAATTTCGACGGAAACCCGACAGGACTGACGATGCCTTCGGAGTCTCGCGCACGCTACTGATAAGATGGCGGAGCTCCACTGCGGCTGGCTGAGAGAGCTGCCATCGGACGTGCTGCCGTCCACATTCTGGCTGCGATCACCGCGAGCGAACGAAGAGCTGACGACTGCTCTCCATCATTTATTGAACAGAAAGGTGTTCCGGTATGGGTCATTGGTACAGTATGTACGACTCGCGCTTCGAGACGCGACACTCGGTCTTTGTCGACGTCAAGGCGCTCAGGGGAGCGGCTATAGAAGCGTAGCCGGGGACGAAACGACGAAAAAATCCGCAGAGGCCCAAGAACTGACGGGTCTGCCTCGCGTTTTCCGGGACAGGGAACTGTTCGATGGCCCTCAGTTTGTCCCCCGTTGGGCGATCTCTCCGTTCCGGATCACGAGTCCCACGAAGGTAACCTCCTCGAATCCGAAGCGACACTTTCCCCGGATTCAGTGTGAGTCGGGACGCCCTTAATCGTTGAAACACCTCTCTTAGCGTGAGCATGAGCTGCTCGAATCCACCCGCGCTGATGAGAACGTCGTCGAAAAAATAGAAGCATTTCTTTTCCTTCCTCAGAGATCCCAGCACGAGGGACACCAGATGATTAAAGATAGCAGGCCCGTTTTTAAAGCCGAACATGAGCCTGTTGAATTCTCCGCTTGAGTCCGGTGTTATGAAGGCCGTATACTGGCGCGCCTCCCTAGACAAGGGTATTTGCAGGAATCCTTGTTTGAAGTCGAGTTGGGCGAAGAGACGGGCGCCAGCCAAATCCATAAGCTCGTCCTCGAGGTTGGGAATAGGCCAATGTAGGTCGACAGCGGAATCGTTCAGTTGGCGAACATCAACGACGACCCTCTTTTTAGGGGACTCACCGGGGACCAATCGGGTTACCACGAACGCCGGGCTCGCAAACGGGCTTTGGGTGTCCGAAACGATTCCGGCACTTCTCCATTCCTGGACCTGGCTCTCCATGAAGTCTCGATCTTCGGGCGCCAAACGGTACGGTTTCGCCCGCGCCGGGAGCCGATCGGTCTTTAGCCGGATGTCCGCCTCCATCAGATCCGTACAGCCCAGCTCCTGCAGCGAGAACGAGAAAACATCTGAGAAGTCGTTGATGAGACGCATGGTCTCCAACCTTTGAGACCCGGACAGGGACGCTTTCGTTCGTCAAGTTCTACACTCACGATCGGCGCCGAGAACTCGGCAGCTCCGTCCACCGACGTCTTTCGCTGTCGCGAACGGAGGGAAAAATAAAAGATAGCGAGTGGAGAACAAGGGAGTACGACCAGCATACGTATCGAGAGAAAAAGATGTCCTCAGGTCGAAGTTCTTGCGAAGGTTTGAAGTAGCGAGGCGGAAAACATCTGTAGACGGCTCCCACAGAAGACCCAGTACCTTCAGTACATCGCTGTTGCCCCGGTCGAATGTGGCGGAGTCAACCCCCGTGTTGAGAAGATTGCAATTCAGATCGTGGAGAATCAACGCGAGAACCAGAGCTCTCCATGACCAGCGGAAACGCGAAATCCAACAGAAATTTAGGCAGAAGCTCGGTCTGCTCGTCGATGTCGTGAAACAAGGCATGGGATCCACAAACGACGGAAACACGGCCCGAAAATTTTTCGCAGATCCGGAAGTAACCTCCGAAATAACCCGAGCTCCTATCGCTAAAGACCTTCGTTCTGAGATACTCATCTCATTCCGATTTTCGGGGAGGATGGTGGAAGTCTATCGGAGGCTTACGAGTCGTGAGGGCTCTTCCTCTTCCGGTTTGGGTTTTCCCCCCTCCTCTCTCGGTGCGATCCGTCCCTCCAAAAACAATACATGTACGCCTGGCTCCCCCGGCGGACGGCCCCGAGATGACCTCCTCCGGAGCGATTCTCCGTTGACACCCAACCCTATTTTTCGGTGAATTTATATTACAAGCCAACGTATCCCTCCCAACCGAGGAGGCGCCCGCCGCCGGCTCGGCTCACCCGAACTCATCCTCGGCCAGCACCTTGCATCGTCCTAAGCGCTCTCCAGCCCGGATTCTCAAAGAGGACCACCCTCTATTCTCTATTGGCAGCTGAACCATCCCCTCGGCGTTGCTGTGATAAACGAAATCACGCTCTTGAGCGCGAACCACGATGGTCGACGAAGGTGCGGTTCTCGCCTGAACGAGGGCCGCCGTGCCAGGCCCGATCTCGACGTCATCGACCACAGATGGACGCTCCGTTCGTGCTCGGCGAATTCTATTGAGGATAGACTCGGCAGGGCCGACGAAAAACTGGTCCTCGAATCTAGCCAGCGAGAAGTGTGGGAGATCCAGGAAGGTGCGTCCAACGAACAGGTCCTCCGGGATCGTCTCGTCCGGCACAACTATCGCCTCCACCTCACCCGCGAGGCCCTCGTCCACCTGTAACGACTCAAAAACGACCCGCCCGAGGGAGTGTGTCGCCGGACTCTCCACGTTACCCATGCCATAAATCGGTGTCGACTCTGAAACAACCTTCAGTCCCAGCTCACTCGTCTTGCTGGCCCGAATGAGCACGGATGAGCATCCGGTATCCATCAATCCGGTCACCCTGAACTTCCCGTCGACAATGCATTCCTTCATATATTTCGAAATGGAGGACTCCTCCTCGGCGGAGGACGTGAAGTTCTCGCGCCGACGGCGGTCGGGATCGCGCTCCGTTGGGCAGTCTCGACGGAAGTGGCCCGATCGGCCGCAGCCCTAACAATTCGGCTAAAGTCCGACCGACCGACCCCTTGGGGCATCCGCGAGGCCCGCGGCCCTCTCTCCCTCACGAAACGTCCGCTGGGTGCTCGGGAGCTGCGGACGACCTGCAAAGTTACGCATCGCGCCGGACGCGATTCCACTCTCCCGACGCGCCGGATGCCACCCTCCCGAGCCTTCTGATGCCCAACGCTCCCGATTCATCTGAAAGGGAACTCGCGGCCCCTGGCCGAAGCGACGATACTCACCGGCTCCGCGAAGCGAGCCCAGCAGCTCTCTGGGAGTCTTTTCCGGATCCATACCGGCGATTCTAGCTGCTCTCGAGATATCTGCCACCAATGCCACAACGCTCGACGAGGGGTGATGGGAAATGGCGAGCTTGACGGGCGTGAAAATCTCATGCAATCCGCGCACAATGTGATCAAATGCATCGCCGAATGATATCCCGGCAGTCTGAGCCAATCTCATCTTATCGTAGACGTAAGTCTCCACCGGAGTGTCCGCGGACTGAAACAAACTAAAGAATCCGCTAGCGGAGCACCCCAGAATGACAAACGCCTCGGAGAATCGGAGCGCGAAGGCGCTGACGTCATCTTCCGCGTCGATGGACTCAAAAGGAGTATCCGCTTCCTCAAGATGAAACCATGTCGCTGCTCGGCCCTCCAGGTGAGCTCGAGCTAGCGCGAGCGACGCATCGGTATTCAATCCAGAACTCGTGATCTCACCCTTTATTTGTAAGAGCCATTGCCGAGCTATATACTAAGCCCTTGGCTACTCCGTCATACATCCCCAATCGAGGTCTGCTCCGCGGCGTCGAGTTCCGACTGCTCGCCATCGACCTGATCAGCTCGGTCAGCTGGGACGTCAACTCGTGAAATTGCTCCTGCGACATGGTTATTTCCGACGCCGGCGATCCGGAGGGGCCTCTTCCTCCCCGAGGTCTGTCGACTCACGATTCGCCGCGTGCTCCCCCTAGAAGGAAATCGAGATCGTTCGCAACTCACCGTTCCCGTATCCCTGTTCTGAGCTGTTAACTGATGCTTCCCCGAATCCGAAGAACACACGTTTCGGTCGTTTCTCAAGAGTTTATTTCGCCGCGACTCGTCTCGATATGCGGCGCGCGTTGTCCCTCGCGCGGTGAGCGACCGACTGATCGACGCGCTGGCATGCTCAACGTGCACCCTACTTCTCTCTGTTCTAATCGTTATCAGTGGAAACTCTTTAACAAGTATATCTTTGAAGGCGGGAGATTGTTCCGACGCTGGATGTACAATTCGGTGTGCCACATGTCACATGTTTATCTAGAATCGCTAACACTTGTGATCGTGACCTTGTGTAGCCACGTGTCCAGCATTGTCACCACGTTCCGCTTGCCCATTGCCCATCGCTTTCATCAGGGTCCTAACCTCCGCTGAGGAAGTCGACTTGATGAGGTTCACCGCGCCGGACACGATGACCTGTCAAGACCTGCGCCGAGTCAAGGAGAACGCGGACTTGAGATCGTTTTCCGCCGGCATCGATCAACACGATAGCCTTAGGCAAAAACATGTCCGGTTCTGCGATGTTCGGCGAGCCCGAGACTGTAGGGTTCAGCGCCGTCGTCGACTTCGGTGACCTCGCCGATGCTGTGATTGGTGCCGCGTTTGTTGTCGGTGTTGTTTGCACCGAGGTCGTCAGGAAAGACGACGAGTCCAGTCTAGACTCCTTGGACATTATCACTTAATGTATGACGTTGCATTGTCTGCAATTCTCCTTCGGGCCCGTCCCGACAATTTTTCGAAAATTATTTCGCTTGAGGCATACCCAGCAAGCGTTCTGCTCCTTGATGCGTTCACACCGCTCTTCGTAGGTGAGAGTGGCTCTGCATTTGGAGCTCTGAGGGTTGTCTCAGCAGAATACGCATAATCTGTCTACCTTCCAGCGAGGCTGACCTGGCGTCGAATTGCTCCTTTGTTGATCGCTTGCGAAGGAGTTGTGTGACGTCCTAGGCTGAATCGGCTGTAGAGGTCAGAAATGGCGTGGTTTCGGAGGATGCGGACTCGGGGGTTGGAACCGAAACTTTCCCTTATCTCGGAACGACTGACTGGATGCTGAGTCGAGTTCCGCGTCTCTCCGAACCTTCACTGTGTAGCTCGAGAACTCGAGCATGAACTCCGTGAGCCTCTCCTTCTCCAACTTTCGGATAAAATTCTCTCTCAGTTCCATTGGTAAACACCGGAGGATTCGCTGGACCATCGCTGTCGCTCCTGAGTATGACCGAGTCGGTAACTCGGTCAGTCTTTGGTTTCCGCCGTCGTTGACGATCGTTCGAGAAGTTGTTGAGAATCCGAGCGGTGTGCGCACCGGATTTTCCGGCGGAAAATGCACGTTGCGTGCGGGAGGGGGTCGGGGCGCCTCTCTTCGAGCTTGTTTTTCCAAGCTTCGCGTGTAGAGGAAACTGTGTTTGAACCTGACCGAGCCTTGTTCTTCCCTCTCGTGTCCTAGCGGAGTGCTCTGAATGGGTGGTTCCCGTTGGAAACTCTGGCCGGCCAATTTCCATTCTGATCTCGAGCGGGATTCGCCGGTGGAAACGAAGTTGATCCCATCCCGCATCTCGTCCAGATAACCGTATGCGTCCGTCACGAGCATCGCGTAGTGGATCGTTCGGTCCAGCGGCTCTTCTCCGGTGATAGCCAAGCTGGCTCTCAGCGCGTCGATCTCTTTTGTGAGAGCGATCGATTCTGCTTTGGTCGTCTCAAGGATCTTGCGGAGAGTCTCGACTGTTCTGGACCAATGTTGCGAATTTCCTCGTTGACGAAATCCAACCGTTTGTATATGATGATGCGGGCATTTTTTCTCTCTTTGAGTTGCGCGGCTATGTCATCGTTGTCCTGTGGAAGCTCTTTGGGCGCTTCGGGAATGACCGCGGGTACTTTTTCCATTTGGTTCTGCCATGAAGGGCCCGGAAGCTGACTGTCGTCGGTTGATTCGCCATCTGCAGGCATGACGACTTAGCTCTGTCGATAACAGGGCTAGCGATGTTCTTGTTGGGTAACTAAACACCGGCGTGATTGAACTTGAATATTCCGTCGAACGGAATCGATTCGGATGATCGACTCGGTTTGGTCGGTGATGATGATGATGCAGTAGATCCGTCGGCTTCGAAGTGTCTGCCGCCAAAGTATTAGTCGGGGAGGGGTACGGGGAACTCCAACCGAGCTCAATATGATATTAGGCGAGAGATGCTTTGATTTGACAATCTAACCTGACGCGTCTCGTAGCCTCGCGGCGTGGCGGGTGGACTTCGTTTCGTGAACTTCTGGCACCAAAATGTCATGGCTCCCTAATCGGCTAGGCAAAGAGGGCACTGAATATCCCCTTTTACGGTCGCTTCTCCGGAGGTCGGGGGAGGGGGGGAAGTAATCTAGCGTGATAGATTCCTTGCTTTGAGATTTGAACTCCAAGTGAGACTGCTGTGTTTTTCTATCCCCTCTCCGGAACGTGCACGTCTCCGAGGCGGGCGCATTATTTTGAGGCTGTAGTGTGGGTAATGTCGGTATGGGAATACAGTGAAACCTGTCTAATAAGACCACCCGCGGGGAATCTGAAAAGTGGTCTGATAACTCAGGTGGTCTCTCAACAAAGGCTACGCATTTTGAGACCTCATTTTTCCCGTTTCTCTGCGAAGATACGAAGCAGGGGAACCCAAAAGACAGAGTTAGAGACAATCATGACGAGACTCTCGGATGCGGAAGACAATTTATTGTATTTCCCACGATCTCGGGGAATTTTTTAGTCCTGAATCGGACGCTCAGACGTCGACAAGTAAGCATCTAAAAACTCTGGCGCAACTTTTTTCGCTTCTCTGAGATGATGTAGTCCTGTATTAGCTTTCCGCAATCGAAGAGGGCATTCTGTGTTCTCTCCGAAAATACGTCCGACGACAAAGCTAGCAACTTCAGAGTTTCCACGGCAAGCAAAGCTGCGTCTGCAGTCGGTGGATCTCTCACCGTCTCA